TGCACTGTGGTAGAGTATAATTCTATTGTGAGTAAAATTTATTCTGACAATGTCTCAGGGTGTTATACAGTAATATGTACTGATGACGTTTCGAGCACCATTCATCGCTCAGTAAATATTACTGGATAAAATTACGAGGCTCTATCAAAATAAATTTTACCCACAATGGAATTACACTCTGTTAATACTCCAACCTAAAACTGAGAGCTATCTTTATCACATGTGAAAGGAACGTATTCTCTGTAACACTTTTACACACATTCAAGTATTGGTTTGTAGGGATTTGGTTGATTGGTTACAGGATTTCATCATGAGCTGACATTAGTTAGAGAACCACTGGAAAACCTTGGAGTACTGGACAGCTGTTTCATCACTCTAGTTCTTTAAACAATGTCAGCTCATGATGAAATCCTGTAACCAATCAACCAAATCCCTACAAACCAATACTTGAATATCAATGAGGTGCTCACTGGCGATTGGCCCTATTCAGACAGGTAGTTGCCTGGGGTTTTAGTGGGAAGTTGTGACCAGTAAGGTGCAGCAGGTGGGGTGTGAGGACAAATACTCACCAAAGACATTGGCTAGTGGTTGCGCTATATCGTGAATTGGCAGAAGTTAGAATTCGTGGGCCATTGGATCGAGTACCCATGGCTTAATAGTATAGTAGCTCGCCTTGTAGCCAGAAGGTCCTGGGTTCAAACTCCGGTGGGTGCGTACTGATGAATAGTCCCAAACTAGGACGAGACAGCTTTCCAGTAGTGCCTGTTGGTTTTCCAGTGGTTCTCTAGCTAACATCAGCCCATAACTTTTACACACATTTTGTGCAATTTTTGGTATAAACATATGTATTCCATACACGAAAACGCCTCCTTTATGTGACTGGTGCGTTCGAGGTCATTCGCTGATTGGCTGGCAGCCAGTGGTGCTTAGAGTTTAACTTTGCCAACTTTGGCATAGAATTCCCTTAGTAGTAATCCCTTGGAAATATTCTTCTATATTTCAAAATATTTAATATGTACATTTAGGTCGGCATATTTGTCACTGATTATTTTATCACCAAAGAACTAATATTGTTATTCTACGTGAAAATGTATCCCCTGCATAACTTGCTATGGTTGTATTGACAATACACATATTTTATTTTGCAACTATACGAAGCTGTTGAGAATTTATCGAAAAGAAATATTCATCTTGCAGACTAACTTTTAATTTATGATATAGGAGTGTGGAATGCAGACAGAAGAACAATGGATTATTCTATTATGGTGATATAGTGACCAACCAAGGTCAGTGGGGGAAATAAACCAATCAGAATTGGCCTACATAAGAAATAACGCCCACCAGCATTTTATTAATTATTTGATTTTTATAGACTAATTGACATAACCATGGTAATTTTTTTGAATCTTACATTGTCGTGTAAAATATTCTATTGTGTCTGATACTTTCCTGCTTGAGTCGTTATGTGTTCTATCTCAAGTAGAGCGGGTGGCGTGGAAACACGTAACTGTCGTATAACGTTGTTGGCATAGTCAAACGTTATTCGTGATCAACATGTCTATGTTCAACTCAACATTTCTATTTTTCTATCTCACTGTTATTGTAAAGCATAAGAGAATGTTTCACATTCTTGAAAGTAATGTACTTTGATTAAAAATAGTATATGTACTAAACGCCTAATTATCAATATAGGTCAAATGTCTAAGGTGAATGAACAAAGACTTTTGACTAAAGTTCAATGCATACCAAAATTTAGGAAAAAGTTCATGTTTGTCTAAAAAATGTTTAGGGTTAAAAACATAGTACTGAATGCAACAATAACAGATGGAAAGTTAGACTAATGACTGAGTCTATCCACATTTAGGAATGCAACAGAAATGACTCAAAATAAATAGTCAGTATCGTGGAATGCAGTTTTGTATACCCAATAAAGTAATTATATATTTATGCATTCATTACTATTTATAAATGTGTGAATAAGCACACCTTCACCTACTGGTATGATCACGGATGGTAATTTGCATCAAAATGCAACACGTATATAAACAACTATTCATGGAGTTATTATTATTATTATCAATACTCCCTTACGTTCCCAGTGGAACAGCCGTCCTTCTCAGCTGGCTGGGTTCAAAATTACTGCCCATAATCTCTTATCTCCGTCTCTGCCCAACACACGATCCCCTACATGTCCCCCTCGCACAGACAACCCTATGTCGTCGCTTCCCTATAGGATTCTACTTAGGCGATAGCCTGCATTGCGTGCGTTGTCATTCGATGGCCTTCACAGTGGTGTTTGCCCGATCAATCCATCTCCATTTTCAACTACATATTTGTAGACCAATCGGCTCTTTGTTGGTTTGTTCTGCTGTAGAGTTTCTCGTTGTTACTTTTTTCCGGCTGGCTGGCTGGCTGGCCATTCGATCTTCATTATGGAGTCAGCAAAGTGGGCAGCTTTTCAGTAACCTGCTAGAAATCCTTTTCGTGACGTACACGCAGTGCAAGTTTCTGACCCGTAGAGAAGAAGCGACTGACTGACTGACTGACTGACTTATTTCACATTTGTGTTGAATAGAATTCGAACCTTGTTGTTCATACTGGCTGGCTGAGTGAGTGAGTGGAGAAGTTTTCCAAACTGTCTTCATGTTTATGAAGGCGTATCTCGCCTTTCCGATTCTGACTGGCTGGCTGCCTGACTGATTGGCTGGCTTTGACATCTTCATACGTGCTGTCCACCCACCTTTGGTTGAAACTATGCTTCCTGGTCAGATAATCGAAGGAAGTCTATGTCAAATCTCTCTCGCTGATGGTGATTGTTGCTAGTTGTCTCTATTGTTTTTGGTTGGTTGGTTGGTTAGTTAGTTAGTTACCTGCATCATCTCCTTCGTCTCCTTTATGTTCATCACCTGGAGTCCTGTCTTCGCTGCCTACCTGCTTCTTCTGCGATTTTGCTAGTTTTCATCTATAAGTCTTCGAATTTATGTGACACTAAACATAAATCATCAACGCCTGAAATCCAGATCCTCTGGAGTCTTCTTATCGGTGATCCAACATATTCCTGTCTTGCTGCTCCTTTGCACAGTCTTCCACATAATCTAGTCTGCCACAATTAGGAATATCATCGGTGCTAATAGATAGGCACATTTTTCTAAGTATCACCTCAACTTAAGAGGCTTCGCTAAGTTTCCCACTGTGGATCAGCTAACACATGACATTGTCATACAGAGCTGTCTAGCACTTCCTTGTCTTCAATGATTCTCTAGGTAATATCATTTCGCGATGGAATCTACATTTAAACTGGTCAAAGATTTTGCAAATCTTGTCAACTCAAGTAAGGGTGCAGTGACATTCGGAGGACCGAAAGAAGAGCACACCTCCAATTTTCTGAACATGTATCAAAAAAGTCTACGTCTTAAGGGAACAAATGTTTACAATGGTGTCACGACCAGGCATCTCCTTGTTACGTGTCATGAGGTGGATGTCTCAAGATCGTTCGAAATTACCAACAGGCAAAAGAGTTCATTTCTCCTTAAGTTCACCGTAGCAATCTCCATCAAGCGCCTAAAACCCGATTTATATGTTCAGAAAGAAGAGGTTATCAGACTTCACTTGCCCTGGCAACTGGATATTTTCATCCTATCTTCAATCTGATTGTATAATGTCAAAACACTGCATGGTGTATGATTATTATTGTTTGGGATAAAGTGTTTATTATGATTATTATTAGCATTGTATGCATGTATTGACTGATTTTTGTTTGAAAATTAACTCTGTGCAAATATGTTAAAGTTGTTTCTGTAGATATACTTAATAATGTCTTTGGTCTGTAAGCAAGCAGCTGTTCAGAAGCCGACGAAATAAATGATGGTACCATTTTATTCTGCAAAACTCTGGTTCTTGCTTTATTCGAACTTAAAGTTATATATACGACACGTTAACTGAAAACAGCTACCCTCGACAACTTCATCACTAAACCTCTGGCTAAGGAAGGGGAAAAGAATTCTTCTGTATCTGTGTAACAAGAAGCCTCTCTGTAGATATGACTACAATTCGAAGGTGATATACCAAGTGAAATGATGACCAGCAAGTTGAGGATATCGATTGAAAGGACGCTTAATGCCGGTAAGCTGCAACGTATATTTCCCAGCACAACCTCATGTGACTTCAAAACTGAAAGATTGATAAAATACCTAGGGATAGTCACCTTTAATTGTAACTATCAATTTAACTGCAACTGTAGAGCTAGTTAAATTGATCATTGTGTTGGGAACATAATTTTTCGTGTTCGCGAACACCAGTGTGGCTAAATAAAGGTGTTGTCAAAACCATCAACGCTTCTATTTTACTACTATTGGTTTGTAGGGTGTTTTTGTTTGATTGGTTGGAGGATTTCATCATGAGCTGACATCAGTTAGAGAACTACTGGAACACCTTCAGGGAGCACTGGACAGCCAGCTGTTTCGTCGATCTAGTTTGGGACTCTTCATCAGCACGCATCCACCGTCAGGGTTCGAACCCACAACCTTCTGGTCACAAGTCAAGCTAGTAATTCTATTCTAGATCACCTTATCCAAACATGCCACGAAAATAAGACTGAGGAATCTTTCTGTAGCATCTGCCAGTGACTTCCACTTACTGTACACTCCAAACAACAGGAGCCATTGCAATTCAATTAAAACAACCGGCGCTGTATGAGTAAACGACGCTTGTCCAGCAAGTATTGCTAGCCCACCTGGCCTGCTGTCCAGCCTATAAGTTCACTTCCATCAATTTACCTGATGTTCCCTGAGCTTCGTGTTATATTAATGCAGATTATCTCTCGCTAACTGACGCCTTTCAAATGTAATCTGTCGATAGTGACCATTGATTTAACGTTATTTAAAACAGCATTGATGTTGTTCATAACAGTATTTCCAAGTGTATAACCTGATGACGAATTTATCGAAGATAACATTACTTGTTGACCAGTCAATCTTTAAAATATAAGTAATAATACTTACTTGCGATAACATTAAAAACTTATTGATTTGTTCTACAGACGGTGTAAAGTCCTCTGGTCCATAGGCATTGATAGCACCAGAATTTCGATTGCATATTACCGCTTTTTTAACCAATTTAGTACCAAGTATGCTGTTCTTTAAAATTCGGTCATATACATCCGAATGAGTTGTTTGATCAAACTATTTAAAATAGAAAAGGGAAGAAAAATGAATTAAGAATTTACATTTTAGGAGAATAGTGTGATATATATATATATATATATATACCTACAGCGAGAACAAACAGTATCAGTCACGATAGAGATTCGACAGAGGTCACTGACTTCCTTCACTTGTGCAACGAGGGAGCACGCTTTCGACCGCAGCCAACGGAACGGCTAAAGATGTGAAAACTAGCCAGATCGGAAAGGCGTGATACACGCCTTCATCAACCTGAAACCAATTTAGAAATCTTCTCCACTCACTCACTCACTCACTCAGCGAGCCAGTATGAAGAGCAGGATTCGGATTATATTCAACACAAATGGTGGGAAATCATCCAGTCAAGCAGTCACTTCTTCTATACGAGTCAAAAACTTGCACTGCGTGTGCGTCACGAAAAGGATTTCTAACAAACTGTTGCACACTTGTTTTATTAAGAGCTGCCCACTTCGCTCGCTCCATACTCAAGATCAAATAGCCATTTAGTCAACTAGAAGTAATTAGCAACGAGAAACTCCATAGGGGAACAAATCAACCAATAGACGATTTCAAATCTTTAAATATTCCCATTTATAATATTAGAACAAGACGTATATGCGAACAATATTGTTGTTTTCACTTAGATCTTCTTCAGGCTTGACTCTAATTTACATAGACTTATATATATAAAATTTTAACCAATGATGGTGATTTAGTGGATCAAATAATAATAGTAATCATAATAATAATAGTAATAATAATGTGGTAAATGTTTTGAACGAAGTTAATAGCGATGATTATAATAATAACAAAATATTGTTAATAAGGCTTATATAGGTGATAAGAATAACAAAGTTAGTATATGCATATAGAAAAAAAAGTAATAGAAAAAGCTGATTCTTATTTTCGTTATGTTGATGATACCTTTATTATTCTTGATGTGAAAGCTGACAAGAATGAAATGTTAAAAAAGTTTAACGATGCACATCCATCGCTTATCTTCACTTGTGAAGAAGAATATGATGGTGGACTACATTTTCTTGACGTCCAATTGAGCAGAAGAGAGGATGGTTCACTAAAGAGAGATGTCTATAGAAAACCTACATCTGTAGGACAATATACACATTTCCTCAGTTATGTACCAATCCGTTACAAAATCAATTTGGTCAGATGCCTGACGAATAGAGCAAGACGCATCTGTACAGATGACTCTCTAGAGAATGAGCTAGGATACATCCAAAATACGTTAGTCCAAATGGGTTATCCTAGTAGATTTGTCAGGAGACACATGAATGCGAAGTACAATAAAGAGAAACCGATAACAGTTAAAAAGAAACAACTGTTCATCAAACTGCAATTTAATGGGGACGTGGCTAGTGAAGTCTTACATCAGAGATTATCGAGAGCGATAAAACGGACTTATACTGCCGCCACCCTCTGTTTGTCATTTTCCAGCCGGCCAATTTTGATTGCTCAAGTGAAAGATAAGTTACCGAGTTGTGCCACTTCCATGTGTATCTATAAATTTAGTTGCTCCTGTGGAGAAAGCTATATAGGCCGAACAACTAGACAGCTTAACAAACGCATTAATGAGCATCTTCCTTCATGGTTCGGAAAAGGTCAAATAAAGTCCATACGAAGTTCTATTTTGGCTCATTTGATTGATAGTGGTCACCAAGTGGACAAAAATAGTGCTTTCAAAGTTATTTACCGCATTCCATCAAGTCTTTCGAACGGAATCAGAACCCGTCTTTTACACTTAGCCGAAGCTATGGGAATTCGAGAGAACAATCCTAGTCTTTGTATACAAAAGAAATTTGTTCTACCTTTGTCTCTCCTTTGCTTGGCCTAGGTGAATTCTATTCAAAACCCTCCCACCCTTTCTTATCATCCCTCTCCTTCGTACTTTTATGATATTTATTTAAACTCTGATTATCGTTCCATTTGATTTGACCTAATTTATTTATTTATTGAATTGTCTACATATATGCATATACTAACTTTGTTATTCTTATCACCTATATAAGCCTTATTAACAATATTTTGTTATTATTATAATCATCGCTATTAACTTCGTTCAAAACATTTACCACATTATTATTACTATTATTATTATGATTACTATTATTATTTGATCCACTAAATCACCGTCATTGGTTAAAATTTTATATATATAAGTCTATGTAAATTAGAGTAAAGCCTGAAGAAGATCTAATTGAAAACAATATTGTTCGCTTATATGTTTTGTTCTAATAGGCGATTGCTCAAAAAATGTGCATTCAAAAATGGAGATGAATTGATCAGTTATACGCCAATGAGTAGGTGGTGGTCACTGGGTGGTCGATGCGTGGGTAACATGGAGGAGACCGTGTGTTGAGGAGGAAGAGATGGGAGATAATGGTTAATCGCGAGGTCAACTGAAGATGACAGCAGACAGTAGAAGAAAGTTGAGATGTTCTGTTGAATCCATATTTTCCACTAGGAACTCAAGGGTATAATAATAAAGCCTGAAAATCTGTGTCCCACATGGAACGCAGAGGAATAGAAAAGCCACCTATTAGAATTATCTTTCTATCCAAGTAACCAGGAGAAAACGTTAAAGACAAAACGTTCCACAATGTTACTTTTCGTTTGAGAGAAGGCAAAATTTGATGATGCTATTTAAAGGATCCATCTTCAACTGTACAAATGTCAGTTAATCACTTCAATATAAATGCACAGTGAAATGTTTTGTTATTTTTACCTATTGTCCTACTTATTCGTCATAATATAGGCGAAATTAGCGATGTGGTGATGACGAACCCGATCCTGAAAGATCGGAACAACCGTCCAGTGTTTAGGTCACTCCTATCTGGCTGACCAGCAGTTCATTTCAATCGATAATTAGTCAATAAACTTCCAACTCAACTTGTTAATAGGCTGCATTCACTTCACAGTCCACTGAGTGACTATGTAGTGAATAAAAAGAAAGTCTAAGCGAGAACTCAAGCTTTGTGGTTGAAGTCACTGAGAAACATGAAATGAAAAACCTATAGATACAGCATAGTTTTACCTAGTATCACTTAGAGAACCACTGGAAATCAGAGAGTACTGGACAGCCAGCTGTTTCGTCAGCCTAATTTCGAACTCACTGGCAGTACACATCCGCTGCCAGGATTGAAACCCAGGGAGTTCCGGTTATAAGGCGAGCTAGCTCGTAGACCGTTCAGTCACTAGGACCCTACTCAATAGCCAGTTCATGAATTCTAACTTCTACCAATTCGTGATTTTAGCGCAACTGTCATCACCCAATATGATCATTGAGTACTTGTCCTCAATTCCGATCTCGTGACCCCCCACTGATCACGACTTCTCACTTGAAATCTGTTGAGTCGGATCCCAGTGACTGAACGGTCTACGGACTTCCCTTGTAACCAGAAGGTTCTAGGTTCAAGATCTGACTCTTAAGCACAGATGATGAGTCCCGAACTAGGACGAAACTGCTATCCTGTTGATTATGGATGGTTCTTCTATTAATATCGATCTGTGATCTAACATGAATTAAATGCAACTCTTAAAAAATGTCTCCTAAACCCGAATGTTTGGAATAAAGTAAACTTAATACGTAGTACATTTTATCCTTTAATGCACTTTTTTTCTATATCCTGCCTACTACTACTATAAGTGACAATTTTAAGTAATAAATGAATAATCTATTGATGTGATTTAGGAAAAGTTTAAAGAAAGACACATCGTCCACTTATCTGGTTGGACAGTTTCATTTCAACTACGAATGGTAAGGACATGAATGTCAAAGCTAGTCAAGATGATGAAAGCAAGACACACCTTCATTACTCTGATATCAATCTGAAAGACTACTGTACTCAGCTAAAGGAACAAGATGTCGATCTTCAACAGTGATGTCAAGTAGTTAGAGCTGCTTCTGTGTAATTCAAACACTTGGTAAGTGCGTCAACAGAAGCTTTTCGATCAGCCTACACATTTTTGTTAACAAAATGTAATCCTCTGTTTCCCATAAACTGAATTCTATCAGTCGAGTTTGCAATGTAGCTATCAAGCTAGGTAGTTCACCATCACTATACACTAAGAAGTGTTGTTTTTAGATGGTTGAGTGTAATTGTCAGAATGCCTTCGATTTAAGTTTCCTACTTTGATTGGACACAAGTAACTAGTGCAGTGTGTCTAGTCCTTACTCCCGTGTTGACTGAATTCTATCAGTCAAGTTTGCAATATGGCCACAATTCTGGGTAGCTCACCATTACGGTGCACACATTGATTTGATGATATTAGATGGTTGGAGGCAATCGGCAGGCAGGAATCCTTGGACCTAGACAGATCGCACTAGTTACTTACTAGTGTCCAATCAAAGTATCCAATACAGTCAATCCTACAGGAGTTCAATAGCGAGTCCGAATAGCTCAGTGGTAACGTTTCTGACTGCAGCACTGGGTGATTTGGGTTCGAATCACAGAAGGAACATAAGTTCCTTTAAGGTTACGGATATGCGCCTTTTTGACTGGTGAGTAACAACTAGCACGAAACCTAGATCCAAGGCTGGGCCTCCTGCCTGCCGATTGCCTCCAACCACTTAATATCACTTAGGTTTCGTGCTTGTTGGCACTCGTCAGCAAGACATATCTGCAGTGTTAAAGGAACTCATGTCTCCTTAGAGATTTTATCCTGTGTCCCTCAGTGCTGCAGACAGAAACGTTACAATATATCTAATGCCTAGTAACAACAGTTCCGAAAGGCACAGTGATGGCAAGCCACCTAGTATGGTGGCTACATTACAAACCCGACTGGTAGAATGGTTATTATCATTATTATTATTACCACTGTATGCATGCATTGACTTTTTGTTTAAACTTGAACTGTCTGGGTAAGCATTTTAATATTGTTTCTGTACATAAACTAAATAATGTCTTTAGGCTGTGCTCAGATGACGAGGAACCAACGAAATAGACAACGATTGTACCATTTTATTCTGCACAAACCTGTATTGTCCTTGCTTTATTCAAATTTATGAATGGGGAATAAAGGCATGAAGTTAAATCGATCTGTTTACACGAACTTCTCTTGTAATTAGTTAAACTGACACATTATGTAGAATGCATTAATTCACATACTAGAAATTCACATAAATAATGGAAACAATTAGAGGTCAATCATGTAGATTGATTGACTGATTGACCCACTCACTCACCGACTGATTACCGCTCATCTATACATATATGTAAATGTATACACATATTATTTTATAAATATGATTGCATTTAGTTCACAATTCAATTCGGAATTTATTCAAATTATGAATATGAACAAATATTGTAGGTTGGTTAATTTTATGACTTTATGATTATTGGCATGGATGCACTTAAGGTGATGGTTTCAAAAACGATACACGCACACACGCGCACACACACTATTTACGATCGGGATCATCCTGTGATCAGAGTCATAAAATACGCTTTATGCTTGTAAATATCTGCTTATCAATAAGAAAAAACTATTCAGAATTGGTTGATTACTATAACCTGCTAGTCAGTGTTTATGGTGTTAGAGATTAACATATATATATATATATATAAATGTGTATATATGGGAAAGGAATCTAATGGAAAGAGCGGATCACGCGAATTCCGGTTTATTAGGCAGCTGATCGAATAAATCGCTTGTTTATATTAAAGAGAGATTAAATTTCATGTGCACATTTAACAGCTTCCTTCATGAGGTCAATAAAATGATGAATAATAAGAGCTCTTTAATAATAATAATAATAATGTTTATACAACACATATTTAGTATGATATATCACATCACAAATAATTCTTATTGTCAAGGCATGTTTTCTCTTCTAATTGGGCATAGTTTTCTGCATAACATCGAGGCGGATAGTTGTACTATGCTGTTGAATAATAGAAATTTGAGATATGATGGAGACGATTTGTAGCCTAGGTGGATTGTTTTTCATATAGTTGTATTCTCTAAGCTGGATTGTTCAGAGCTTACTTCAATTCGATGAAGTGAGCTTTTAGATTCCTTCACGAGTTTATTAGTCATCTCTCCTAGCGGGTGACCTTGAACATCGTGATTGATTGTTTTTGTGTGTCTTCACACTCTCTAGGCGGCTACTTGAATTGGAACTGATTGCTTCTTTGACTTGAACTTTGACCCTATGTGTGTCAGGTTTCTTTCTTATCGACTGGTTAATTTTGTCTATCTCAGTGTGTCTATTAATTGACGATTCACTGGGATACCAGGCTAGCTTCTGAAAATTCTCCAGCATTCTTCGTATTTCCTTTGTCTAATATTTGAACGTTTTCCCAATAGAATCGATGTCCGTGGCTAGCTGTATGCAGCATTATGAGGGAGTGTATGCCATGTCTTTCGATGGCTAGTTTAAGATCATGGATACGAAGACGACTTCCACTTTGGCCAAAATGAAGTATGCACTGAAGATGTTATCTAGTAGGGAGATGAAAGCTCCGCAAATTAACTACCCATCTCAGAGGACACAACCCCATCAAAAAGAAATTTGAGAATAATTTTTTACAAATTTTAACTACGGACTAATTTCAGCTAAAGAATCCTTGAAAACCAGGGAGTATTGAACAGGTGTTTCATTCTACTTCGGTGCTCCTCAGTGGCACGCACTAAGGTCAAAAGGTAAGGTGGCGTTATACATTCCCGATCCGTAGAAGTTAAAATCGGGGGTAGGGCTCATAACCCGAAGTTCTTCGGTTCAATACCCAGTAGGATCATGGAGGCGTACTGTCGAACAGTCCTGAAGTAATGAGAGAGATAGCACTCCCTGGATTTCAATGACAGCTCGTCATCCAGCTTGAATAATCCTTTAGGAAATTTCAACATAGCTTATCATAAATTTCAAACCTAACTGTTTAGATTACTAATGGACTTTGAAACGGAAAAGAGCAACTCTGTAATATATAACTTTTGTTTTGTTTTACCGTGTAATACGGGTTGGTGATAACAGTTTCTAACTGCGAAGTTTCTGAAATATCATACAATAGATAAGGTAGTACACTGTATCTCTGATATATACTTATTTCTACACTATGGCTTACGTAATTAACTGTTGGTGTATTTCATCACCTATTTTTCAGCTTAAAATGCCTTCATAACTCGCAAGAATGTACCAGGGTGAACCGACTTGTCGTACTCACATACAGATACTCACCAGCGACTGGCTGTATACAGGAATTTACCTGAAGTTCTAATGAAAAGTCATAACAACCAGGGTCGACCAAGAGATAAGACAGTGAGATAAGAGATCGGTTACTCGCCTATTACAGTGGATGGTGAATGTGCCACTATGACGACATGGTAGAAGTTAGAATTCATGGGCCATTAAGTCCGGTCTCAGTGGCTGAATGGTCTATGAGCTCACTAAATAACTGGAAGACCCTAGATCTGAATCTCGTAATTATGAAGAGTCCTAAACTGAGACGAAACAGAGATCCAACACTCGCTGGTATTCCACGTATTCTCTAAATGATATCAGCTGGTGATGAGTGCCAACTAGCACGAAACATACTTCCAAGGCTTCCTGCCTGCCGATTGCCTCCAACCATCTAATATAATCAAATCAATATGTGCACCGTAATGGTGAGCTACCAAGAATGGCGGCCATATTGCAAACCTGACTGAGAGAATTCAGTCTGCAGGGGAGTAACGACTAGACACATCACACTAGTTACTTGTGTCCAATCAAAATGTGCTTTTGTTAATTGCTGGTTGTTCATTTGAGTATCAAGCTTCTAGAAATTCCCTGACTGCATTTTCGGTGTTTGTTCTATCTAAAATTCCGAAATTATCCCAATCAAATTCGTGTAAATTAAATCAACCAACTCAGAGAGCACAACTAAGTCCAAAAGAGGAATGTCTACATTTGAGAGAAAAACTTAAATTTTTGTTGGAGTTGCACGAGTAATGACTTCCAGATTGTCAGTCATATGTCTACAAACTAGGCTGCCAAACTGAAATTCCAAGAATATTATCTAAAAGTTAGTGAAAAAATGTGCGTGAACGCATCTCAATGAGGCACATTCACCAAAAGCAATCATCTAATCTTTTCTATAGTTTTGTTTGTAAAGGTTAGTTATGTTTTTACGAGTTGATCATCGATTGATATCAGTTAGAGAACCATTGAAAACCAGCACCAGAGTACTCGACAGCAGTTTCATACTAGTTTAAGGACCATTGGCAGTACGCACCCACCGCCACGGTTCTAACCCACGAACTTCCGGTCACAAGGCAAGCTAGCTCGTATACCATTCAGCCACTGGGACCCGATTCTATGGCCAGCTCATGAATTCCAACTTCTACTCAACTAACCCTTACAAACCAAACTATAGAAAATTAATCTGATGCTCGATAGTGACTTTCTACAGGATGGAGTTTCCTGGAGTAAGTTCTAGTGAGAAGTCGCGACCAGAGAGGTCCGATTAGATGTCACGTGTGAGGATGGATTTCCTACCTACGACAATGGTTGGCGTCGCGCTAAATCACGAATTGGTAGAGGTTAGAATTCATGGGCTGGTCATTGAATCGTGTCCCAGTGGCTGAATGATATACGAGCTAGCTCGCCTTGTAACCGGAAGGTCCTGTGTTCGAAGCCTAGTGGTGGGTGCGTACTGTGGATGATTCCCAAACTAGGACGGATGAAACAGTTGTCCAGTACTCCCTGGTTTTCAGTGATTATCTAACTGATATCAATCCGTGATCAACTCGTAAAAAATTAACTAACCCTTAGAAACCAAATTATAGGAAAAACAATCTTCTTCACTGAGACTTTTTTATTTCATGTCTCAATGGGAATTATCGATTTATTACACATTATCACTGTTATTACTATTGTTAGTTAGCAAGGTGTTCTGTAGCATTTCGGATTAACAAAGGATGCAAGACACTTAACTGAATTGAATCGTTTTCAGCTGAACCTTCATCGTGTTTCACTTCAATACATGCATTGTAAATGCATTTAACCAATTTATTTTCACTAATAGGAGTAATTTACGTGTCAATAAAATAGGTTATATGTAACCAATTATACTGACATTGGCAGCGAATATAATAATAATAATAATAATAATAATAATAATAGAATTAATTGATGCAGATAGGGAGGGGTGCGTGTAATGAAGATAGCGCTACAATGTAAACGGTTCAATAATTCAATGAGGTCAAATTCTTATAAAATTACAAATAACACCTTAATATTGAAGATGAAGTGAATAGGTAATCAAAGTTTCAAACGATAATAAATAATAGTAATAATGATAATAATATTATTAATAATCACATAACTCCAAACAGTAGTTTGGATACAGTGTTCAGTATTCTGAGTGTGTGATTAATGTACGAAAGGAAGGAGTGCTGAACCGACTTTATGGGCTCATTGTCAGGTATGTTGTACACTATGGCGTTCTGTTTAGAAGCGAGTCTTTTAACAACTTCGCTCGACAAATATTCGATAGCGTTCTGTAGTTCCATAGCATCTTCCAGTTCAGTATAGGTTGGTGCAGTCCTCAATTCAAAGAGTTTTAGGAAAGTGAGATCTCTCAGTTCCTTTTTAAGATGTGAGATTGTTTCTGGTACCAGGTCAAGCAGATTTAGCTTCATCCTGAGGTCATTTATTTTTATCCGCATGCCGTTTATAATACAGACGAAGTTAGTAATCTCTGCTTTTTCTGACAGGATATCTTCCAGCTGTATTACAGGGGTTAGCATTATGTTGGAACCGTTTGTATTGGGTGAACTAGGAATTACACCTGGTTTAAGGGGTAGATTAGCTTAAGTTATTTTCTAAATTACCGGTGATTCTAAGAACACGCCTTTAGAGTTTTGGTCCATTATAATTAGTGACAAAATAGTAGAACCCGAATGAATGAATATCAGCGATAGGAAAGAGGTCAGAGTATTTAGTAGTAGGATTACATTAGGAGAACAGAAAGAAGGATAGACCTTCGATTTTCTGAACATGTACCGAAAAGCCTACGTCTCAGGAGAACAAATGCTTTGAACAGTGCCATCGCCAGGCATCTCCTTGATGATACAGGTCATGAGATGGAAATCACAAAGTCATTTAAAATTATCAATAGACAAAAAAGAAGTTAAATTCTCCTCAAGTTTGCCTAAACAATCTCTACCAAACGCCTGAAACGCGATTTATGTGTTCAGAAAGAAGTAGTTGTCAGTCTT